CAAATTGTGTGGTGCTACCATGGAATCCGATCATGCCTGTCGTTTCCGTGTTCAATACTGAACGCTCCAGTTTAAGAGGGCCTCCGGAGGTGAGGTGGGGAGTGACCAAAATGGCGAGGGTGCAAGAAGCTGCATCAAATGCGGGAAGCATGACAGACTGGCAAGTTTAACCTGGAGAAGGGACAGCTGGGGAGAGGGGTGGAGAGGAACCTTAAGAGCCACCTTAAACATTTGAAAGGCTTCAGAGTTACACATGGGTCATCCCTTAAGCCAGAAATAAGACCCCATAGGTAAAGGTGAGAGGAAGACAGCCTTGGGCTCACAAAATCCTGACAACAGTCATCGCAGCAGTAGTCCACTGCTCGCCTGCTACGTGCCGGTACCTTTAGACACTGCACGTCTTTAGATATTGGCTGGTTTAATCCCTTTAACCATCCTCAGAGTTACATCACTAGAAGAATTTATTTTCAACCAAAGCTAAACAATAGTGACATCTCTTCCAGGATGTTCTAAAGGGGTTAAAAGATATTCCGTATATCTCGCTCACTTTATGGATCTGGCTCTTGGGCCCGCCATCTTCACTGGCCCTGGCACCAGATGGCACTGCCTCAAAGATGCAGGCCAGTGGCATGTCTGGACCTTGAGAAAGGAGGCAGTGGGTGAGGTGGCACAGTGTCCACAGTAGGGGTTAGCCCTCCCCCTGCCCCCACCCCAGAGGGCAGCTGGTGCTCCCATGGCCCTTCCCACACAGTCACACCAGACCCACCAGACGGGCTGGCCGTCCAGCAAAGGCTTGAGGGAACATTGCTGGCATCGGCCATATCTTAGCACAGCTGACGTGGCCAAGCGATGGCCTCTACTGACGAGGAAGGATGCACACCAGGAGCCCTTCCTCGGTCCTAAAAACCAGTGCTACTGCAAAGCCCCAAGCCCTGAAGCAGAGGGAGAAAACCAGGGAGATCTTAATACCAGAGAAGGGCGACCCTGCACTTGAAAAAATTCACTTAGACAAATCCTCAGGTGCTAATCCATTTCCTTCCACAGGTAGGGCCTGGAGGCAAGGAGGGAGGCAGAATCTCCTTTCGTGGCAGTGCACTGACCAACGCAGGGGAGCACAGCCTGCAGAGTCCAAGCAGGGAGACCCTACAGGACAAGCGCCCGATTCCTTCAACAACAACAATCCAAAAACGGCCAGGAAAGAAACCAGGAGGAAGGAGGAAGAGGAGGACCGCCTAGAGTTTACGTCTTGAAAAACAGATCAACTCACTGCGACGCATGGATCTTATTTGGATCCTGATCCATACCAACAAAACTGGGAGACAATTAGAGAACTGTGAACACTGACTATCTGACTATACTAAAGAAACTGTTGATTATTTTTAGGTGTGATAGTGGTATTGCGGTTAACGTTTTTCTAGAGTCCTTATCTTTAGAGACACGTACAGAAATAGTTACAGATGAGAAGCTATGACGCCTGGATTTTCTTCTAAACGACCCAGCGTGGGTAGGCAATGGCGGGGGATGGATAAATCGAGATTGGCCGTAAGTTGGCAACTGCTGGCGCTGGTGATGTGGGTTCCTTTTACCTGTGAATTTCTCGGTAAGGAAAAATCTGAGATGAAGGAGGCACCACCACCCGAATACCTGGACTTCACAGGCCTCCACGGCGGGCCCGTTAGAGAGATCTGATGGGGAAGCCGACGCTTCCATTCAGTAAAGTGTTTTATTACTTTCAGATTGTTTTTCTTTCCTAGATTAAGGCCAACGTTAGGAAAGGTCTGAAGAAGCCGGTTCGCCTTCGGAGCCCTGAAGAGGCTTTGGAGACAGTCTAGCAGGGCTTCCAGACCAGCTCGGCCATCCTTCCCCACACGGGCAGAGGCCTCCTGGCCCCATGCTACTCTCCACCGCCAGCCACCTGCCCTGGGACACCCCCTCTGAACGGAAGAACATCCCTAGGAGTGCATCTCCTCCTCCTGCGGCAGGGTTCTCTGGCCCTGCTCTGCCTCAACTTCCTCTCATAGAGGGAACAGACAAATGGCGAGATTTCTTCCCAGCAGGAAGGCTGCCCTCGTGGGGGCTACGACACTCTGGGAGGCCTTCTGGACCCCCTATTTTGGAAGCAGACATCACACTTGTGTCCTTTGTTCCCTCTCAACCATGCCACCTCTTGAAGCTTCATGTGGGGCAGAACGAGGGCCCGAGAAGGCCACAAATGACAATGGTTCCTAGAGGTGAAGCCACTCCCCCACACTTTCCACCATGTCAAATCGGCTTGTCATCAAACCCAGCACCATCGGCTCAACCCAGATCGGGTTCTTCAGCCCAGTTTTAAGGAAAGAAAACACTTCTTTTAAAGTCCAAAGCAACTCTTGTCTGAGCCCTCGCCACCCCAGCCCCTCCCACTTTACACCAGGAAGAAGGAGCATGTCTCTGGGTGTGGGCATGAGAAGGCCGTGCTGTCGGACCGTTGCCATTTGGGGGCTCGGCCAAGAGAAGACATTTTCTAGCAAACTGGGGCGACCTGGAGAAGCTGTGCCGGCTCCACACCACATCCTAAGACCACCTACCCAAGGCCCAGTGGTGGCCCATGCCACACCAACTCTCTCCCGTTCTTTCAATAAGGCACATTTGAATTAAAGCAATTCCAGCAAGAAAAACCTTCATTGAAACTCTCTGGCGTCCAAAGACCTGAACTATAGACAAATTATAAAAAAACGTTCTTAGTTCCCCGCTCAGCTTTTGTCAAGGAATTCGGCCTCAGCTGGGACAGAGGTGGCCTTGGCTGCATGTGATGGGGCATGAATTCACTCATATTCCTGGGCAAATGATCTCATTACAGGTGGGGGCGGGCGGGGGTGCCTCTTTTCTTCCGACACCTGCCTGGTCAGTCCAGGAGCCAGGAGGCTGGCCAGGAAACAGTCTCCTTCCTCACACACACTTCAGCCTACCTCAGCCCCATGCTGGCAGCAGTCAAGAATCTGGCCTAAAATAAGAGGCCAGGAAAACAGCTCAGCTCCAGGGACCCAGCTAGAGAGCAGGGTAGAAGGAAACTAGCTCAGGAGGAAGACAAGTATTGATTTTCATCTTAGAGGCCCTGGTTCTAAACTAGAAGGTACAGAATCCCCTCGTGGAGGAGCTACCTGACAGACACCAGCTCCAGGATCCAAGCCTTCCCCGAGCCACCTCCAGCACCACGAGGTACATGCCCTCCCCACTCTGACTTGCCGTGTAGATGGAGAATGAGGCAATAACTTAAATTTTTCTTTAGTCTCTTCCAAAAAGAAAAGGGACGAACAGGGGAGAAGATCGGCAGTTGGTCATTTTTGTGAGGGGTCATGATAGTCACACAGGGCTAGGTACAGGCCTAGAAAGATCCATGGAGGGAGGGAGGTGGTGGGGAGGAGTGCCCTAACATTCAAACAACTACCACAGTCTCCTCTCAGAACAAGAGAAAAAAGAGCAAGAAGAGAGGCCTCAAAGAGTACATTTTCCTCCCCAGAGTTCGCTAATATATAAAGACTCAGTGCTAATCTCAGTCGAGATTATATTCCTGACACAATGCTGAAAGCTCCCCCAAATTTCATTTCTGGATTAAGTCACGCCGCTCCTCCCAGCGTCCCAAATAAGCAAGGGGGTGATCGCAGCAGAAAAGTGAGCTGCTTTTCTTTTTTGTGAATGAACAGGAAGGAAGACACACGCACACACTTGAGGGGAAAGAATATTCACTAGAGTTAAAGTTAAGCCACATTCTCTTCTATTCGCATAAAGAGAGAAAGAACGAAAACAAGGGGGAAAAAATACTGGAATGGTGGAAAAGAAAACACACACACACACACACACACATACATACACACAGAAAGGTTTGGTAGCCCTCTCATTACAAGTTGGTTGGGCATAATGTAAACACACTTCTGCCTTGCTTAATCACAGAGTGCCGCCCGTTTAGGTTTCAAAGGCGGCAGTAAATTGGGCGTAGCTGAGTGGAGGCTAAAAATTAACCAGCCATCTCTGTTTCAATTTGTAAGAAAACAAAAGCGGAAAGAAATTATAAAAAAGAGAAAGAGTGGGGAGGGGGGGAGGAACAGAGGAGGAGAACTGAACCGCCCTGACCCAAAATGCAGGGTGAAATTGAAAAGGCAGAGAGAAAAACTGGAAATACTTATAACGTAAAAGGAAAAGGAAATTTTACAGAGTTCTGTTGACTGTTTGTTTCTTTAAGATCTGTCTGTGCTCCCTGACAAGCCTGTGCCCCTCAGCAGAGGGGAGAGGGCTTGTAGGCACCCATCCTGGGGTCTCAGCCACTTCAGCCGGAAACAGGTGACGGGGAAGAGCATGAGGAATCTCGTGCTCCTTTTCACTCTCTATGACATCAAATCACTTCCTTACTCCCCGCAGCCAAATTCCCAGCCAAAACAGCTCCCACCTGGGCACCTGGGCCCCAGAATCTACCCGCCTCTGCCTTCTCTCCTCTTTTCTACTCATTCAGTCTCATATCCCGGGGTTTTTACACACCCCTCTCTCCACCGAACTGCTGCCCATCCCGCTTGTGCCAAATCCAGCTTTTCCCCAGAACTTGAGGGGAGCGGCAAGAAAGCCAACACCTGCCCCCCAATACTACTTCTGAATTATTTAAATCAGAGCAACCAGTGATTTTTTTTTTTTTTGTGGTGGTGTTCCTCAGAAACTCTCACCATCATGGGTAAACCTGGGTCACCGCGGCCCCAGTCCTGAGACCTGCAGCATCTTTTGGGTAAGATGTATCCTCCAAATATAGAGATGCAGAAAATCGGGGACATGGCGAGGGAGCCAAGGAAGAAGAATAGAGAGGGTGGAGGGAAACAGAGGGAAAAGGGAACACGGAACGTGCTGCAGGCCTCCGCAGGACAGGCGCTCTCCTTAGGCCCAGTGGGTGTAGGGTTTTGACAGAGAGGAACAATAAACAGGACAAATGCCAGCAAGTGAAATAAAATGGGGAGGGGGGTGTAGTGAGAGCAACCTACCCGGAGTGTGGACAAAGTAAGCCAGATAAAGATCCAGTTCTTTGATTGTGACTCCAATGTGATGTGGCTGGACGCACAGGCCGGGGTTCGAGCACTGGGGCGACTTGTAGAGCCGCTCCCCATCAGTACTTTCCAGGGGGATCCCCTTAAACAAAATCACCATGACCAGGTCCAGCCGCCACACCTTGTCGGCCTGGCGCAGGCAGTCAATCCGCCGGATCTTGCCCTTCTGGTCGGGGTTGGAGAGCACGCAGCAGGGGGGCTTCTTGCCTGTGATGGTCAGCACAAAGTCCTCTCGGAACTCGGGCCGGATGTCTTTGCGCAGCTTGGCCAGCAGCCGGGATGCCCACTTCTGCTTGATCTCGGGCTTCTCGCCCAACAGCTCGTCCTTCACCGCCCGCTCCTCGTCCTTCGACATCCGCTTCTCGTGCTTCTTGAAGTACTTGCGCTTCCGCGCCTGCAGGTTGAACCAGGTGTAGGAGAAGGCGCGGACGTGAGGCAGCAGCGCCTCGATGAACGGGTGGAACTCATCCTGCAGGCGGCAAGCCGGGAGCATGCGGGGCGAGGGAGGACGGGAGGAGGGAAAGACGGGGTGAGGGGGAAAGAGAAGGAGAAAAGAAACGTTAGAAGGGGGCACTGGAGAAATCCCCTTCTCCTCCTCCTCCCCCCCACGACAATTTCCTCTTGCGATTGTTCTACGAAAGTGTGGTCTGGAGCCACCACCAGCCCAGCCAGCCGCTTGCTCCCATCTCAGCCTCAGCAGCCAGACAGAGGCACCCGGAGCCTGAGCACACACCTATTCTCTCTCTCTCTCTCTCTCTCTCTCCCTCACTCACTCACACACACGCGCACAGACAACGTTGCCGTCCACACACACACGCTGCTGGTATCCCCGCCAGGCTCTGTCGCGCCCATGACATCTCCATGTTCTATCGCAGCCTCGAACTCGTGTCAGCTCTCCCCGACGCGGTGTCGGGTCTGCACGGACGCCGGTGGACGCGCACTCGGGGCTTGTGGGGGCCGCCTTGCGCCCCAACACCAGTCGGTTTTTGGCCACCCCCAAGAAGAGAGAACATGACATCCACCAGCCAGCAAGCCAGGAAACGGATTTGGCTTCCCCCTCCCCAGCCTGTTTATATTCGCTTTTCTCCTGCTCCAATTGGAACAGCCACCCCAGCATTTTCAAAAATCAGATCTAAATCCTAAATATGTGATTTCAGCTTTGTTATCGACACCGATACTGTTAATCACAGTAATAAGGAACAAAACACTTCTTGTTAGCACAAATAAGGTGGTTGTCTCGGCCACATTAGGGTTAAAAGCTACATGGGGTGTCCTGCGCCCCGTCCCCACTGACCCCTTCACCCTCTTTCCCACTCAGTCAGGTGACAGAGGGCCGGGCTCTCGCTTTTTGGTTTTTTTTTTTTTTTTGCTTGTTTGCTTGTTTGAAGTTTAA